ACTATTAACAGACAGATGTAAGTTTATTGTATTAAAATTTGATTTGTCTAATTCAAACCATCTCTGAGTGACAGAGTCAAATGTAACAAGTGTTGCAACTGTCCCCGGTCAGCCCTAACCATTGGTTGTACGTCTACAACTGGTCAGTCCCATGCAGCTCATCTTTAAACACAAACAACATGTCTCCTCTGCTTCTGTTTTAAATTAGATTTTAAAGTGTTTTTAACGACCCACCAGGTCCTGAATGGACAGACTTGTGTAGACCTGTCTGATGTGCAGGTCCCTTAGATCTACTGGTGGTTTGTGTGTCCTGAGGTCCAGACTGGTCCACAGAGGACAGTCCACAGCCTGTCTCTGCTGCAGTTAGTTAACAGAACAAACTTCAGCACGTCTGTCCTTCGTTAGCTCCCTGCTCGTTTCACACCTGATTTTAAAGGTTTTCATGACCTGAATGAGAAGATGGAAACACTCGGTGTTTTCAGGTCTCCTTGTAAACACTCACTGACTTTTAATACAATATGAGGACTGACAGTTTTTCATAGTTTTGTTATTTCATTCTGTCTTATCATTTTTTTTGTTTATTCATTTTATTTTTTACCAATTTTAAGTTGTGTTTGTGTTTTTTGTGTAACATTTTTGCCAAGGGCAGTTATTTTGRAAAATGTTGTGTAATTTTTTTTATTAGAGTTTGTGTCATGGTCTGAGTTTATTTAGATTTGTTCATCCTTGTGTTTCAGTGTTTCCTTGTGTTCCTCCCAGGTGTTTCTTTAGTTGACCTTTATATTTGTTGTCCTGTCTTCAGTCCTGTGTCTGATCYTTGTGTTGTGTTGTCAGTCTGTTCACTCCCTAACAGAGTGTTGAAGTCCTGTGTTATGTTTTTTATTTTGTTATTAAAAKCRTTTTTTGTACTTTCAGCGCCCTGCGTTCCCTTTTTAAGTCTGGATGGTGTCAGTTTGAACCTCAAATAACTGATGCTGTCAGTGTTCGTCTTCTCCAAGCTGCTGCAGTTTATCAGCTGATTGGGCTCACTTTGAAATACTCACCCATGTATGTACGTATG